TGAACAAGATTAAGCGCATTCGGAGCTATAAATCTCCGAGAAACCATAACAAATCTGGGATTTTGAAGAATGGGGAATCGATCAAAACAATCCCTAACCTAAAAGAAGCCCGAACTCTAAACTGGGTCGGTTGAATCTCCCCACTTTGGACCCACTGCTAACAAAGAAAGTAAACCCAGATTCAAGAACATGCACATTCAGCATTTAAACGATTCAAGAGAGGGAAAATTGTTATAATGGGTGAAGAAAATTACCTTCGGTGAACTTGATAAAGGGCGTTTCGAAAGAGGGGTAGGTGCAAGAGCTGCCATTGAAATCAGATGGATCTTAAAAAAAGCTAAAGAAAAATATAAGAGAATAATGGAGAGTGCTTTGGTGATGAAAAAGAAATGAAGGAATTAAAGGAAGAAACAGTGAAGTTTCGGTGTGGAGCAAGGGACGGGAGAACGAAGTTCAGAATCAGTATGGAGCAAGAGACGGGAGAACGGTGGAAAATGACTTACGGATTTCCAAACGGTAAGTCATCTTACCGTGTTTTTTTCCCGTAGACTGTAAAACAACTTATATTGACCTATTGTTTAACGGGAACCAAACACAGGAAAATGAAGAAAATATATTCCGTAAAATGTTTTTCCTAACTAAACAGACCCTTATTGTCTTAAAATTAAATTTATTCATATTGGTATAATCACTAAAATGGACATTATCTTCAAGATTAATTGGCTATTTTAAATTGTATACTAAGTAGGTGAAGCTCCAATAATATTGCTCTTTTTTGGAACGAAAAGAATGATCAAGAGTCGAACAGTAACTAGAAGAAAAGAAAGCATGTTACAGGAAATTGATGTCAGAAAAAATCATTTGAGAATAGATCAAGTGATGAGGTGTGATTTTAACGGAATAATCTAGTAAATACAAACTATTTTTAATTTATTTAGAAACTTTTTTAAACAGACAATATCTAAAAATATGTACATACAATACATATTTAAAACACATACTAACATAAACATGAACATATGACCTGTGAGTCGCAACAAGCATCTGCAATTAATGTGAACAAAATATAAAATATAAAATCAAATATTTATTTTATAATTTTCATACATTTAGAACTAAATGTCAAATATATATCTAATAAGAATTTATTTATTAAAAAATATAATTTATAGATTATACTTATAGACATAAAAGAAAACGAAATTGTTAACAAAGAGTGATAATATAAAAGTGGATTATCGACAGAAAATTCAAGTGAGGTGACAATAAAGTAAGCAGGCAAAACAGTTGTACCTTTGTGGTTTCAGACTTGCGGCTCATTAAGTCATACCAATTTAAAACAAGGCTGTTCCTGTGCATTTTTAGTTGTTCTATGTTGGGATGTTCTATGCATCAACTTTAACTTGGAATGAATTTTGCATTCATTCTATTTGTTTGTCAAAGTTAAGCAAAATCAAAGTCAAATTTTATTGATATTTGTTACAACAGGAGTGATCTCTTGCCTGTGTTTCAGTAAACCAAATACAGCAACAATCAGTACATTAAGAAGAAATCAACCAGATAACATATCAACTTGTTATATCCTCGTATACAACGTTAGAGTACTTCACCTCCGACGGTCAATTATGACTTCATGATGTGATTACTAACAGATCATATGATATATTATAAGACAAGTTTATTCACCCTATCAATCTATTAGTAATTATCTTGATTATAAGTCCACCGACACTAAAGATCCGTATATAAATCACCACGTATTGACTAAAAAGGAGGAGGTTCTTTCTTCTTCTATCCATCTTTCTCTCTCATATTCTTCATATCTCTAAAACTAGAAAACATTCACAATCCGTAACTTCACTATGGATTACCAACTGCAGCTCTACATCTAAATGAGAGGAAATGAAGTTGTCATCAATAGAACTCATATCGGAAATGGAGAAAAACACAAGTTTATGAAGTCTTGTGGATTGTGAAGATTGCAAGGGACTGACCTCTTTAAAGCTAAAATGAAGGGGCAGACAGCTACCGAAGCAAAAATAGGATGCCTCGGCCCGAAACCCACCAGACTATTCTGGTTGCTATCTATCAGCCACCACAAACTTTTACCTAAAAGAGGACTGCGCATTTAGAGCTAATGCCTCCTTGCAAATCATGTCCTTCATCTGCTCTTCTCCCACGGTTGCTGGTCAAGGTCGAAATTAAATGGCACAGCGCGGACGGGTTCATCACTAATCTTTCAAGATAAGGATGGACCAATGCCTCTTCAAGACTTCAACTGTCACAGATAAACTACTTTCATGCAAGTAAAATAAAGAATTGCTTCATTGAACTGTACAAATTTGAGTCTCAAATCATTCTTCAATAAAATCATATAATTTAGTTATTATTAAACTCAATATCCATAAGAGCATGCGGTAAATGTCGTTCATCAGTTATTCTTATGGTTGGATCAAATGTCAACATTCTGTCAATGAGATCATGAGCCAATCGACAATAATATGTATAATAAGCAGTCCTATTATTTAGTGTAAAATGTTAACCTAATGAAAGTTATAAACAACATAGAATTAATCCAAATTAAAGAATTGAGTATAATATGTATGTTGAGTAAGAGATTATTTCATAGATTACCCATTGATCAATCTTTCCTCTTGTAAATTTAGAGAACATTACTAAGCACTTTCCCACTATAAAGTCAGCTAGCGTAGTCAACATTTTCTCAAATATCAATTTACCTCATTCAACAAACGCATTTGATGTTCATGATCCTTTCCAGGAAACAAAGGCTTTCAATTCATGAGCTCCAAAGAGTTCAGCAGTAGATCCGGTGCCCTATACCACCCTGAGACAATATATTCCATCATAAACTCATTCTCAGCAGTCGGTCGAGCGAGACCAAAATCACAAATCTTAGGATCACAATTAGCATTAAGCGAGAGGTTGCTGGGTTTGAAATCTCTATGAATCACATTTGCAGAATGAATGTACTTCAGTCCTCGAAGAATCTAATAGAAGAATCTTTGAGTAATACCTACAATGCTCCTATAAACTCTGATCGGTGCGAATGATTTGGTGAAGAATTAAGACGTGAGAGAATTAAGGATGATGGAAAACGCGCGAGGAACTGAGCGATTCGTTTGATGAGGGATGATATTGTAGCCGCCTCTAGATCTACGGTTGAAATTCGACGGAGTAATCATGTGGAATTATTTGCAAAACCTTCTGATTGAATACACAAAGCATGTTGTATCAATGAAATCTTTGTGTGAACCATAATTTGGGCACTAAATGTTATTTTTTATTTCATAAACATGAATATATGATTAATTCAGATTTGATATATTTTAAAAAGAAACAAATCTACGTAGATATTGTTGATTTTGATTATTTTTAACATGTAGAATCAAAGTTATTCATGCAATGGATCTATAATTAGTTTTAATTATATTTTATGTCAAATTCAAATTACCTTTCAACACCTAAATTAATGACATGTTGACTAAAGTATCCGAATGATACAATGTTGATATTTTAAGAGCTTGAGTATAATATTTTTCAAGTTTAAAATTAATTTAGAATCTAGATAATAATTAGAGGAGGTTTGATGTAATTAACCCAACTTTAAAAAAAACTAAGGTATCTAACGTTTGTACAGAAAGCCTTTCATACCTGTCTCAAATATCAACAATGCATTGCCCCAACTTTTACTGAAACGGCACTTGATGAGAGGTTTGTTTTCTTTTGTCATTCATTTTCCCTACAAACTTTCACTCGTGCCACACAGCAAAATAAGTTAGGAATATTAGTTCCGTGAGGCAAAAAGTGCCAATCTCTTTCCTTTTTTGTCAAATCTTTGCGGATGAGAATTAATATTTGTTTGCCTTAACGGAGTAGTAATTGATAATGACAAGAAGTATATTTTTAAATAGAACATCTCAAAACTGTAAACATTCAATTTAAATAGATATTGCATGCCATTAAAGACAGTTTATACTTGTTATCAATATTTGATTTGATTTGATTTGATTTATATTCACACATACATGTGATAGATATCATGTTTTTTTTTGTGTGGATAGTAGTCATTTTTATCAGATATTTTTCAGACCAATTGAAAATTTTCGGATAACAAAATTAACTTTTAAATGATTTGTTCGAAATTTTATGAAGTGGTTTTATTTCTTTTATCGTTGTGAGTCACCGCTCCTCCTATAAAAGACACTTTAACTTTACAACTTTCTCTGTTTCTATCATTTTATTTTCTTTGTTTTTTCAGTTCTTTTGATTAAATCTATTTTATTTCTTTTAATTCATTTATTTATTATCTAATCGATGCAAGCATGTTCATTTTACTTTCACATTTGTTTTAAAATTCAAACAAATACAAACTGTCGAATTCAAATTTAATACAAACAGTTACTAGTATTTGTATTACTTCTTGATCACCTCTTAATTGTGAATGAAACAAACCGAATCTTTAATTTTAAACTTCAAGATTTTTCAAAAAAGTAAATAAAGAATGAAGTTAAAGATCAAAAAGGAAAAAATGTCCAAAATCTTAGCTTGTCATGCCAAAAGAATATAGGATCCTATAATAGATACAAGAATACCAAGTCTATAAAACCTAGCGTTTTCCCTAGTGGCATTCCATTGAGGGAAAAAGGCCCCCATCGATTAGGTCAAGCTCCGTGGAGGTATTATCCCTAAAGGCTCAATCCTTAATATTGGAAGCGCAATCGGGGACTAATATTTGCAAAGCAAGGTCAAACCAATTGCCTTAAATTAGGAAAGGGAAATGCAAATGACTAACAAATGATACCCAGAGCAGCATTATCAAGAAGGAAGAGAATCTGTAATAGCATGCTGAGAAATCACGCAGCTACAGTGATGCATTATCGAATCATATCAGAATTATCCACATGAAGTCGAAATTAAAAGGTGAAATTAGCGCGCTTATTTACCAGAAATTGTATATTATTATCGAGAAAATGCTTAACTTCGACCAGAAATCTCCACTAACGTCGTTCAACAAAATAAAACTGCAAATACCCATATTTTTTCAAGCAACAACTGCCTATTCACTAACTTCTTTCAGATCACAAAACCCAATACATTCTGTGGAGGCAAATGTTGTTGGCTTCTTCCTATTCCGCAACCACAAGCTTATGCATCAGCAAATCTGCAAAATGAAATAGAAACCATCAGTAAAGAAAAAAAAGAGCCGGGTGAAACCATGAATAACATCATTCAAATAAGAAATTAACGCGAAGGTTACCCAAGCTCAGAGAGCTTCAGGTGAGCTTCAGCATACTCAGTAAAGAAGGCATCCTCATCCTGCAAATAATGGAAACCCATCAAAATAAATAAACAAAATTGAACTTATCAACGACAAATTATCAACGACAAATTGTATGAAACCATTGAGCCATTGATATGAAGGGAAGTGTAGCATACGGCGGCATATTTATCAACCAATGGACGGAAAGAAGGATCAGACAAGAGAACTTTGTCATTTGGCAGCTGCAGAAGGCCTTCCTTCTCTCCTGACAAGAGCTCCCTAAAAGTATAACCAAATCAGCATGAACTCAACATGTTATTATTAGCAGCAATGAAGGAAAAAAGCATGAGTACAAAAAAGGAGAGAAAGAAACGCACTTGAAGTAAGAGTTGTCAAAGATGAGAGGGTTGGTAGTCCAAGGTCCCTCAAATCCAGACCTCTCCTTGTGGCACCTTCCCTATATCAAGAACAAAGAAGAAGCGTATATACCATTAAACGGGTGCACACAAATAATATGTCAAATCAAATTGAATGAAAACATGGGATCTGTAGATTATTAACAGACCAGGGTGTGACCACCAGAAAGAGCAACAATATCCTGGTCGCTGAGACCCATTGAGCACCAAACCTGTCTCAAGTGATCAGCTCCTGCAAGTATTAATCACAAGATTAAATCAAGATCATCGTCAAAATTAACGGTGTCTAACAAAGAAATTCCGGAATAAACTGTAGACACTAACCCTTGGTAGCATCAGGAAGACGGCCCTCAGGTGGTGGGTGAGGCTTGTCCTGGAATTTGGTCATAAAAAACTAGTGAGTAATGGTATTGACAACTTCAAGAATTAAAATTTGCTACAATTGCTAAAGACAAGGGAAACTAACTATTGTTTTTATACATCTAATAATTATAAAAAGTTGAAATCGATCTAAAAGTATTTCACCATCTACAATTGCATTAACATTTCCAAAAAAAAACTGTTGCAGAAATGAGGGCATAGTTCAGATTGGCTAACCTCTCTTCCGGGATGGAAGGGAATTTCAGGACCACCAGTAATCTCAACGGCGACAACGCCAGCAAGCTACAAATTATCCAAACACGCAAAGCAAAAGGTCAAAATCAGCCAAATCATAAATAAAACAGAAAGAAAGAACAGATCGATTCAAACTAAAACCTGATAGAAGTCAGCATAGGAAAGGATAGGGAACTGCTCCTTGATCGGCTCGAGAAGTCTAACGGCGATATCGAGGCCGTTGTTAGCACCGTGTGCGAGCTCAGCAAGCTGCTTCATGGTTCCGAATGGACCCCCGGTCTTGGTCTTAACATCGAAAGTTCCAGCTGAGTGCCATCTGTCATCCACGATCATCGTCCGGTCCATCAATATCATCAGTCTCAGAACCAAAGCTGTAGATCAGACGACAAATGAAAAAAAGGAGAAGCTTACGCCAGACGGAGCATCAGAGGAGCACAGTTCTTCTCAGCGATGAGACCTCTGAGCTTCCTCTTAGCCTTTTCAACTGCCTTCTGGTATTCCTCGCTCACAGTTGGGTAACACTTCGTCATTTTCTCTGTTTTTAACGAAAACAGATTCATATTAACAAAATGAGAAAATTCAAATCAAATAAAAAATCACAAACTTCAGATCCGAACTCAAACCGTAAATAACTTTTTTCGTGAGGTAACCGAGAGAGTAATGGAATGATTGATAAACCCCAAAACAACGCAATGGACACGAGCCGAGCTCGAGCTCACTTACATGGGAGGTGGAATATATAAAGGAGAGTGGAGATAGAAGGAAGGTTCTAGTAGCTTATTATCAGCCGTTGGATTGAGTTATGATCTTGTGGTTGGTGTTTGCTTTAGGAATTGACGAATTTGATTTTGGTTTAAAATTCACGATGTGCAGCTGTGCTCGTGAGGTAGGTGGCTGATTAAAGGAGTTAATTGTGCTTGTTTATTCTTTTTTTGAAGGAAATAAATAATGGTCAAATTATTGTCTGAATGTCGGAGTGAAAAAAATAACATGCGGAATTTCGAAATGACAGATTTGTCCCTATAACAATGATAAGATATTTAATTTGCTGCCTTTGTATTTTTCCCATGCTATTTCGTTCTTCAATTTCCGACATTAAAGTTACATTTTATCTAAAATTGGTGTATTATATATATAAATATTAATATAATGAGGAGATATATTATATTTTTAAAAATTTATATTTAAATTAAATATATTATTAATGAAAAAGATAGTTATAAACACTTAAAAATTGAATCTTCCCTTATTAACTGTATGATAAAAATGAAAATTATTTTATTTATACAAAAATAATTGATGTGTCTTTATTGATATATGTTGATTTTTAATTGATATAGTTTAATTTTATGTTTTTTAATAATTTATCATGATTATGCGATAATATTTATTAATTGTTTGTTTAACCATTAAGAATATATAAACATTCTACAAATATAAATATTTTAATCTATAATCGTAAAAGAAAATAATATTTTTTAACCATGGCTAGTATGTAAATTTAACAGTGTAATTTAACACTTAACATTTATTGGGTGGATAATTATTAACAACGATTTATATTTAATTAGGATGAAAAAATTAATTTTTAACGTCATATCTATTTTTAAGTGAATAATTTCAAGTAACGGAGAGTTACACTACAGTTGCCGCATGGGATAGGAACGGCAAGTAGGGTATTTTCGTTTTTCCATTTATTGTTGAGTAAATTTTAGGGCAATTTTAAAAAATTAATACCGTGGAAAATACTTGTAATACAGTGTGAACGCGGCCGAGGCAGAGAAGATTCCATCGAAACAATGATACAGCACCGGGCGTTTCACAGAAGAATTGGTCAAACAAAAACTCACACTTTTGTAGCGGACCAAAAGCTGCAATAATCCCATTCCTCTAGGGGCTCGAGCTTCTCCAATTGGTAACCGCCACGTGGGTTAAGTAATCACGACCTCCTTTCCATTGTGAGGTGTCCGCCGGAGTTTAGAGTCCACGTTCACAGAAGCAACCGCTTTGGCCACTATGCACGTTGGTCTATTTAAAAAAACCACTATATTAATTCTAATACATCAATATAAGTATTTAATGTTATTTATTAAATAAATATTTTGAAATATTACCTTTCCCGTTGGCTATCCACATAAAGATTGTATGGCATAAATCACTTTGTATAATTACACGTAATGATATAATTTAAAATTAAAAAAAAAGTACTCCACAGCTTGCATTTATGTCTAAATACTATGACGGTGACAATATTTTTTTGGGTAAGTTATATGGATGGTATATTTTATTTTTTATTTATCTTATTTTAGTTATTGATTTTGACAAAGTAAGGTTTTGGTAATTTATGTTATCTATTATCTTATTTTGATCCTTGAATTGTTAAATCTTGTTGCTTTGATGACGAGGCATATTAGTAAAAAAAAGTTAATTTCTAATTTAACCCTTATACTTTTAAAACTTTATATTTTTCATCTTATTCAAACAAAAAAACTTAAAAAATCCTTCTCTCGAAATTTCTCACTTTAACCCTAACCCTAACCCTAACCCTAACTGTTATCATTGTAGTCATTAACGTTAGGGCTGTAAATGAGCAAGGTGAGTTCGAGCATTACTGAGCTCGACTTGAAAACTCTAAAATAGAGCTAGATTTGGCTCGAAAACTCACGAGCCTAAAATTTTAAACTCGACTTGAACTTGAATCATAAATTGAAGATCTAAATAAAAAACAATTCTTAAACTTAACTCGATTGAAGCTTGAACTTGAACTCAAACTTGAACCTTAAGTACATGAAAATCTTATACTACATTTAAAAAAACAAATAAATGTTAATATTATTAATAATTTAATTTTAAAAAAATAAATTTTTAATATATTATTTTTTCGAATTGTTCAGAAGCTTTTCGAGTCGAGTATCAAGTAGATCATTTCGGCTCCTTAAGAACTCGAGCTCGAGTCGAGTATTTATCAAGTTTTGACTGAGTCGATCTCGAATAGCTCGCGATCTGTCTCGGCTCATTTATAACCCTAATTAACGTCATCAACCCTTGCATGCCCCTAATTAAAAACACAATACTTTCACACTCTAGTCGTTGTGCGTTGTGTTAATAACCACACCTCTGTACTAAACACCCCACCTCTCTTCTTAATTGTTTGTCTAAATCTCAATAACCCCGAGAACTTCTCGACTCCCTCTAGTGGTTAGGTTTCTTGTCATGTAACATAGTCTTGTTGTGGCTTAGGAGGCTGGAACACGTATTTTATTCTAACGATAGTACGATTTTGAATAAAAGTGTAGCTATAGATGTGCACGCAGTCTGCTGGATTTGCGAGATAGATAAAAACCACTTATCACCTTACAAATCTTCTACAGTAAGCCTTTCGAATTAGTCGAAGGTGGTGTAAACCCATTTTGTCTAATGCCTATAGTCCTATACTATTACATTTCTTTTGTTGACTTGTATAGCATGAATTCAATTGCTGGTATTACCTACTTAAAAATAAATCAAAAGCATCTGTTGCATTTAATTGTTTTCTGCATTTGGTCAAACTCAGTTTAATTCCACTATTTTAGTTGTTCAGTGTGTGATGGTCGATTGTATGTATCTCGGAATATTGTGTTCAATGAGCATATTATTTTCATACGCTAATAAATTATTGGTATCTAGCTCTGCATCTACTGAACATCGGTTAACATCGTTACCTGTATTTTTAGTTTGTACATCATCGCCTGTTGTTTCTGGTGAACATGCGTTATCATCTAATGCTCACGAATTATCTTTTGGTGCTCATATTTTGGATGATTCTACTAATGCTGCGTCTTTAGGAGGTTTTACAATTGTTTCTAATATTGTTCTGTCCTCTTATGATACTCCTATAGAACTTGTGCCATCGTCCTTAAATTCTGAAGTTGTTATCTCAATAAATCATCATTCAATGGCCACCTTAAGCAAGGCTGACATTTTCAAGCCTAAGGTATATTAGCAGCAGTGTAATGTTGTACCCTCAAGGATATACGGAAGGGGGACGGGTGAGCATAGTCGTACCCCTGAAAATTTAAAATTACCATATATTTTATATTTTTCATATGTATTTTCTATTGAAAATCCGTTTTCGCCTCCTACTAAATTTTAAAATATCGTCATCCTAACATAAAATTTTGCATGGATCTCCGGTACATTCTACCATTCAGGGGACATTTTTCATACCGAGTAGAAGGCAATTGTCTTCGTAGAACAAAATACCTTGTTGGCGAATAATACATGAGAATTTGTGATCTTTCCAGCATGTCAGAAGGTTATTGGATGTAAGTGAATTTTTCGAATTAAGTATAATATTGATGGGTCGGTGAATAAGTACAGAGCACGTCTGGTGGTTAAGGACTTTTCTCAAGTACCAAATAATGATTTTATGGACACATTTAATCATATCGTCAAATTCTTTATTATTAATGTTTAATTACTACTTGTTGTCATTCGAAATTGAAAAGTGTATCGAGTTAATAATACATTTCTCGATGATGACCTTCTTGAAGACGTGCATGTGCATCAACCATTTAGTTTTGTTTAAAAGAAATAGGATTGTACTACTACCTTAGTTTGTAAATTGCAAGGAGCCTTGTACGATCGTCGTCAAGCCCCTCAGAATTGATTCTTCAGCCTGAAATTGTTCCCCGGTAGTGTAGGTTTTAAACCATCTATAGTTGATATATCGCTCTTTTTAGTATTATATTAATATATTTGATAGTGTACATCGACAATATTTTTATCAATTATAAAATTGTAGATCATATTCCATTAGTGATCATATTCCTGTTTCATTCTTCTTTTAAATAACTAATTAACTAGTGTGCACCTCATTTTTATATTAGCATATCCATATAACGGTCAAATATGTTTTCCAATGATTTTTTATAAACAGTATTTTGAGATTGACACATATTTTAATTTTTTTAATTAATGTTTTATTAAAACTTTTAAAATGAATCTAATCTCAGTTTTTAAGTCTAAAATTTATACTCTAACTCCTTCAAAAATTACACTCTTTGCTTTTTTTATATATATATAGATTTTATACACGTATAAAATATTAAAATCATCTAAATATGAAACTATAAAATATATAAAAGCCAATAAAAATATTATTTTTCTTATTTTTTAATGTTTTTAAAACTTATTGTTAAATTAATGTCAAACATCTAATTATCAATTAAAAAAACAAATGCATTCACCATTTTCCTAAACCAAAAGGCAAGATTTTTTTTTGGATAAGTAAATTATATTTCATCCAAAAGAAACAGCATTAGCTACTACAAACAACCTGCCTCAACCTAGATCAAGTCCCAATTTGTGTACAAGTATCTATTGCCATCATCAACTCTGTGTGTACTAAGGCTATACATTTTGGTTTTCACCGCTACCTTAATTCTATTTACAATTACCTCACTAGTGCTTGAAAGACCTCGAAACTGCCTGTGGTTGCGTTCTTCCCAAATATAATAAAGGAACCCGATCCAAGCAAGCTTAAGGATCGAACTGCGAAGGGTTTTGCCCTTCAAGTTCTCGATCAACCAATTAAGGCGCTGATCCCAACTGAAATTCACACAGCGAATCCCACACAGTCGTAGAACAGCACTCCAAACATCCTTAGCATAAGGGCAGTCAGCAAATAGATGATCACGTGATTCCCTGCCAGAACCACATACCATACATACATCATCAATATCCAAACCAAAACGTACAAGCATGTCCTTAGTTGGCAGCCTATCGAGGGTAACCATCCACGCGATAAGGGAAAATTTTGGAATATGAAAAGGGAACCAAATAATCTTGTGCCAGCTCACCTTCTCTTTGCTAATTCGAATACTATCACATATCCATTTACCATTGATTTGGATCAAATCGGTACCAGGAACAAAGAATCTCCTCGCATTATCTCGAAGTCTCAGTAGTTTGCTTAAAATCCAGCTGTAATGAGGCTTACTAATAACCTCCTAGTAACTTTCTGATTTAAGACAGTAAGCCTTTATCCAAGCTATCCACAATGAACCAGCATTAGCTAGGATATTCATAATTAGCATCAGGCAGCACGATTTACTCCATAGAGCAAGGTCCCTGAGTGTCACGCCCTTTTAAAAAAAATGCATACAAAGTTTCTCCACTTCCTTAATAATCCCTTTAGGAATGATAAGCTGCCTACACCAAAAATTAAAGATGCTGAATAGAACAGATTTGACTAACTGCAATCTTCCTCAAAAACTAAGTTTTTTGTTAGACCATTGCCTCAATTTGTCCTTAATTCTTTCCAGCAGAGCAGTGCAGTCTTTACCAGTGAGCTTGCGGGTAACTAGGGGAACCCCTATATACCTAACAGGGAGCTGAGCCATTCTAAACCCAATGGCTAGCCGGATCTGATCGAGGGTAGTTTGATTCAAGCCACTAGCAAAGAACTCAGTTTTCGAGACATTCAACTTAAGTCCTGAAAGCTCATAAAACTTTTCTAAAGTACTTTGAACACCAAGCACAGACTCAAGGGACCCATGACAGAAAACTAGAAGGTCATCCGCAAAGCAAAGATGGGTTAATTGAATTCTTTTACATTTTGGGTGAAAACGAAAGATTCCTTTCATGGCTGCATCATTCAAAAGAGATGACAAAACATTTATCACCATGACAAATAAGTAGGGTGATAAGGGATCACCCTGCCTAACCCCCTTTGCACCCTTAAAAAACCCCACCAGGCTGTCATTCAGTGAAACAGAATACATGGGTGTAGTAATGCATGCTCTAATCCAATTGCAGAATTTATTAGGAAGTCCCAAGGCTCCAAGAACATACAGCAAAAATTCCCAATTGACAGAATCAAATGCCTTCTGGAGATCTATTTTGATAGCACATCTAGGAGATAAACTCTTCCTAGAGTAACCTTTAAACACTTCCTGTGCTAATAGAGTGTTATCCGCTATATTCCTACCCTTGACAAAAGTTGTCTGATTGAGGGAAATCTTACCAGGGAAGTATGGAATAAGTCTGTTTACAAGAATCCTGGTTAAAGTTTTGTAGACCATTGAACAACAAGATATGGGTCTAAAATCTTTTGCCAAGCAAACATTTAAAGACTTAGAAATCAACACCAATGTTGTAGAATTAAAAGCAGGCAGCAAGCAAGAAGTATGAAAAAAGTGCCTCATAGCAGAAATAAAGTCATTATCAACAATTTCCCAAGCAACCTTAAAGAAACCAGATGTAAAACCATCTGGACCAGGGTTTTTATCCTTCCCCTGTCTGAATAATTCCTCCTTAATCTCCAGATCACTCACCTCCTTGGTAAGAACAGAATCTGCTCCCTCAGGCAGAGAATACCCCAATAAATCCTTCAAAATCTCAGTAGAGCAACCCTTAACCATAGGATCGCTGGAGCCAATAAGATTCGTGAAAAAATTCAATAACTCAGCAGCCATTCCTTCAAAAGGCAAGATTTGTTCATAACATAATCTTATGAATTTTATTGGGTAATGATATAATCAAAAATAATCACTATTTGAGAATCAAATAATCATTTTTCATTAATCTAAAATGATTATAATATAGTATATGTTCTAACATGAATTTATTTAAGAATCAAATAATCATACTAAAATGAATTTAATTGTAAAATCATATCTAATACACTAATAACATAACTTTTATAATTTTAACAAATAAGTTTATTTATTTAAAAATACTCAACTGATATGCATTACCTTATTAATTTTATTTGGACGGTTGTATTGTCTAATCTAAAAACATTAATGTGAAGCGGCTAAATATATTGTTATTATATTAAGTTTATTATTGAGTAATATTATAAATAATTGTATATTTATTATATTTATAAAAATGTATTAAATAGTTTTGTATATAATATTTCAGATCCATTCACCATGGGTGTATTCAAAATCTAATAAATCTACAAATTAGGTTTTTCTCGTACATACCATAAAAAGTGTGTCCACTGGGGCAACAAACAGATGCAAATTACAGCTGGGACCGTGGATTCAAACCAAACATTTGAAATGGATAGCTCATTGATTGATGTGAGCAGTTGATAGGCGCACAACGGGAAAATCATGATTGGCGACCAAAACCCATGACAAGTATCCTCTATAAACAAAACTTGAGTGATTAAAAAAGACGTCGACAAAACCGGAAAATGGTAATGGCAAAATCCCGTAATAAAAACGAAAATTCAAGGGCAAAATTAGAAAGCTAACAATATTTAAATGACATCGACGTTTAACAGGAAAAAAATACCAGAAAAAAATACCTCTTCCTCGCTATATTATTTCATTGCGGTGATTCTCCTGGTGTTGTGGTATTCTTTTGTTTTTTTTTATCGCACTATCTCATCTTCACAGACTCGTTCCCTTGTCGATCTTCACCCAGCTGTAAGTTTTTTAACTTAAGCAATCCGGAGCCCTAAATTTCTATATATGATCTTCGATCTTTTCTGTTTTAATTTTTAAGACTCCTGATGTATTTTCTCCAAAATTAATTAAGGAGTATCGAGTCATCGGGATGTCTTCTTATTTTTTTTCTTGATTTATTGTATTGCATGTAGGAATTCGGTTGTTACTTTTTTTCTTTGGAGACTTGGTAAGGTAGCTTTTGTAGTTGATTTGCTGAGCGTCAGGGGGGTTTAATTTGGTGTTTCTACTTCTTGGACAAATTTCGGGGTTATTAGGGAATACGGAGTTATAGGTTGATTTGTTATACACCTAAGTGAAGAATATTTGGATTGATTTTTAAATTAGATTTGTATTTTTATGGTTTGTCTATTTTAGTTTAATGATTAAGCGAAATTGTGAATATTTTTTAGTAATCCAATTGAGTTTTCAGTGATGCTGCTTGATGACTATAATTAGTGCTCATTATTATTACTCCATTATTTGTTTTGGGTATTCAGACAATCATGAGTAGCGAGGGAGAAAAGACCTGTCCCCTTTGCGCTGAGGAGATGGATTTGACTGATCAGCAGCTTAAGCCTTGCAAATGTGGCTACGAGGTCCGAAAAAATTTACTCTATTATTATCTTAAATTTATTTGGCAATTCAAGTCATACAATTGTTTTAAAATGATACTAAAGTTGAGAGAGTGGAACGTGATGAGAATTGATGTGTCATTGTTTTTTTATTGGTCTCCGTGGCAGGTCTGTGTTTGGTGTTGGCATCACATAATGGATATGGCTGAGAAGGATGAGACAGAAGGGAAATGTCCAGCTTGCCGTTCTGCTTATGACAAAGACAAGATTGTAGGGATGGCTTCTAATTGTGAGCGGTTATCAAGCTCACCTAGATCTTGTTCTCTTTGAAGATCTTGGGAAATATAGCTGCTATTATCTCATGTATTTTTTTCCCGATCAGGATGGTTGCTGAAATTAATTTGGAGAGAAAAAGCAAGCCAACAAAGGGAAAGAATAAATCATCTGAAGGAAGGAGGCAACTGAGCAGTGTGCGTGTTGTCCAAAGGAATCTTGTTTATGTAGTTGGATTGCCGCTTAATCTGGCAGATGAAGATGTACTCTCCCTTTTCATTCTTCATATACATGTATTTTACTAGCTAATTCTTATACTTGTCTCATGACCTAAACGCACATCTGTTTTTGCAGGTTCTCCAGCAGCGAGAATATTTTGGTCAATATGGTAAAGTTTGAAAGTATCAATGTCTCAGACTGCAGCTGGTGTCATCCAGCAATTTCCAAACAATACATGTAGTGTAAGTGCATGAATCTCATTTATTTGGTTTTATAGCTTCCAAATATTAAGATGTTTGTAAATTGGATCTTCAATAGAAGCATTTTTGTTTTGTAGTTGCAGATCTTTGAAAAGGAAATATCATATTATTTTGAAGATTTTATCTTCCTGCTTCTTTGTAGTTCGCTGTTAATTAGTATATTCTTTTTTGTCTTACATTTGTTGACCCTGTTGGCAGATATATTACTTACCCAAAAGAAGAGGAAGCAATTCGTTGTATCCAATCTATACATGGATTTGTCTTGGAGGATAGACCATTAAAGTATGACTGTATGACACTGCTACGGAATGTTTTCTTTTGTTATGGTTGGATGCATACTTGGTCCAGGTTTATTGTCTCTAATGCTTGAAAATTGAAATACTGATTTCAGGGCATGCTTTGGTACAACAAAACATTGTCATGCATGGCTGAGAAATTTGGTATGTGAAGAGATTTTTGGTTTATTTGCTTTTTAAGTAGAAGAAATTTATTTATTTAATGCTGTTAGGTTTAGAAAATAGTACATGAAATGTAAATTGAAGTTTTTTGGGGGAGTTTCAGCCTTGCAGTAATCCTGATTGTCTATATTTGCATGAGATTGGCTCTCAAGAGGAGAGTTTCACAAAAGATGAGATTATATCAGCTTATACAAGGTATACTCATTTTGATTTTGCCACTCTAATTATAGTTGTCATTTTCATTTATTTTTATCTTTTTTGCCTTCTTAATCTTGTCTTTGCCAAGTTTAACTTTTGCTGAGACAAAGGTATCCTACTTTTGGTTGCTTTCTAGTTCAAATGAATGCATGTATTCATGTTGTACAATGTATCGATATTGCTGTTACAGTAGCCTGTGGCAAAGAGATACATTATTTGTTCACATGGCATTTTTGCTGAACTTTACTTGGACAGAAAGATGATAGAATTGGAAAGCCAACTTTAATTACAAGTTCTAAACCAAATACAGTTTAACCCCAAGTTCTTGAATTTTGAGTAATGCCTTCTCTTAATTAGTAGCCTCACTTGATTGTTTAAAGGAGTAGGGTTCAACAAATAACTGGTGCAACAAACAATATGCAATTACGCGCTGGGAATATGTTACCACCTCCCCTGGATGATTATTGCCCCACCCCCACCAGTTCTGCGTCTGCAGTGAAACCCATTGCCAAAAATGCTCCAAATGTAAGTTCGTTTCTTTTCACCTTCCAAAGAAAAACAGAAAAAGTTAAATTATTACATAAAAAGTTGGGAAATGATGAAGTGCTTTACCTGCAAGCAGACCTCCATACTTCTTAATAGTTTGTTTTTATATTATTGGTCATGAAAGAATTTTTTTAACAATGGGGTGGATTGATTGAGATATAATGAAGTTAAAGGACCATGTATGCATGTCCTTACCTCTTGTTCCTGACTCTTTTCGATTTTGTGTTGCACAGAATAAGACGGTGTGTGTACCTAAAGGTTCTCCCCCAAATGGAAGCACTGGAAGAACTGTCGCTCTTCCTGCTGGAGCTTCCTGGTATGTCATTCAATTTTGTTTTCTTTTGTTATGTTTATTTATGTTGCTAAGATTCTGAAATGTTCTGCCAGGGGAATGCTTGCTTTAAACCAGCCACAACCGATTGGTTTAGCATGTTCAAATGGACCTTCTAAGCAGAAATCTGATATGATTAGAAGCACATTACCATTTTCTTCTGCAGCAACAAACACAAATCAGGATTGCACGATGCATGGCGATGTTACAAAGAGGTCATATGAGGATATTCACGATATGCAAATGAAGGATAAACCTGATTTGTTGAAGTCTTCAAAACAGAATGCTGGCTTAGATAGTCGAACTGCACTAGAGAAACCTACTTCACCCGGTGGAGTTTCATCTTCTAAATCATTGCACAGCCTGATCTCTTCACCACCAGTATCCTATTATAATGAACAGAACTCTAATATGCCATCAACTTTTACAAGCTCCACCTTTGACCATGCTGAGCAGTCACTTATTTCCATTAGTCAAAAACCAGGGAATACTTTATCTACTGATGGGAAGGTACAGAGCTTGTGCTCTGACATGTCAAAGTTGACAGTAGATAGGAAGGTCTTAAGTGTACAACCTGATGTACTTGGACCAAGCAGTTCAGCTTCTGATCATGGATTGAGCAGCTCTCCTCGTAGTCAAGGCTTACAAGAATTCTATGCCGACAACTGTCAAAATCCTTTAGGCACAACAGCCATTGGGAGAACTGTGATGTCTCGCAATGGATTGCGTATTTCTAAAGAGCAGTCTGATTGGAGAACTGAGAGACAAACTCCAGCGGTAACAAATATGAGTTCTGAAGTAGAGGAAGACATATTGTCATTTGATAATCAGAGACATAAAGATCCAGAAGTCTTTTGCCGTCGAAGTTATGTTCCAAATTCACCTATTTCACTCTCTTTATCAAATCAATCTAGGTCCCATTTGTTTCCGCATGGTGCAGTTGATTTGAATTCAGATCCATTATTTGTAGACAATAAAGTTAGTGACAGTTTACGCCTTCATGGATCTAGTGCTTCTACTTTATCTAATGGATACCCTAATGTGTACATAAGCAGTAGTATTGGTTCTGATAGTAACACAGAAGGTTCATTTATGCTTCCAAATGAAGGGATGGGGAAGGAGTTTGGAAGATTCCTTGGTAATGTTGAGAGCAATGATGCTATACAAACAGGGGAGAGCAGCATAATATCAAACATATTGTCTCTAGATTTTGATACTTGGAATGAGTACCTAGCTTCACCTCATAACTTGGCTAAATTGTTGGGTGACACTTACAGGCAGCCCGGCAATCTCAAACTATCTACTTCCTGGAAAGCACCAAATCACGATCAGTCTAGATTTTCATTTGCAAGACAGGAGGATTCCAAATATCATCCATTTGATGTTTAGTCCTCGTTTAGTCTTTTCAGGCAGATGCCACAGAATCTCCCATCTAGCCAGAATTTTGCAGAAGATAGTGGGGATATGTATCTTAATAAGTTTGGAATTTCAAATGGTTTATCTTCTAATCACTATGAGGAACCAGACAATTATATCAGCGGCCATTCAGTTTTTTCTTCTTACAAGTTTCCTGGTAAGAATTGGAATTTACTCTGCTCCTGCTAGTTATAGTAATGATTAATAATACAATAGGGATTCTGATAATCCATCTCTGCCTGAAATTTGTTCTAATTTGGCTTCTGGGTACGGGACCGCCTTGCTTATTTGTTGTCTTGTTTTATTAGCTTTTTGGTGAAGCTTTACTTTGATTTTGTTCTACTGAGAGTTTGTTCAATGTTTCTGAGCAGTTTCAAGATCTCAAATTTCAGCCCCTCCTGGTTTCTCTGTTCCGAGCAGCAGGGCACCACCTCCAGGCTTTTTTTCTCGTGGGAAAATTGACCATGCCTTTGACACCACATGTGGTAAGTTTTCTTTTCTATCTTTTGACCCCATTGTCTTTGGAGTTTTGGTTTTTTTAGCAAAGTAATGATGGTTGTTTTTATGTTCAGGAAATCGTTTGGTGGACTCTTCTTCCCTGTTAAGAAATTCTTATCAGGCTCCTTCAGCAAGTGGAGGTATGGGTGGCTCTGAGGATATAGAATTTATGGATCCAGCTATCTTGGCAGTAGGAAAGGGCAGACATCCGGGAGGGCTTAACAGTTAAGGGTTAGACACGAGATCAAATTTTCCACCACAGTTGGATCCCTATGAAAATGAGGCCAGATTTCAACTATTGATGCAGAGATCCCTCTCCAAATCAAACAGTCAGATATGATGTTGGAGATAGCGTTGCTTGTCATGCTGCAATTACTTCTAGGCGATTGGATCAATCATACGTGAACAATGTTTCCCTGTTTGCACAGTTGTCTCTCCAATTGGTCATTTGGATTGATATAATGAGGTCCAAGGTGGAAACGGTCTTGGTGTTGCAGAGCTCCTCTGAAATGAGAATCTGGGATTAAACAAGTTATTTCAGCTATGAAGATTCAAAGTGCAGGATGCTTCCATGCCCCATTGAGGTGATCTTGCATGCTTGCTGTGTCTTCTTGGGCAGCCTCATGAAGGGATCAAACCACCGGTAACTCAGGTCAGCCAATAGAGCTTGTGTCTCGCAGGTATTGAAGAAATATTACAAGTTAATTATTATTAATGCTTTTTCGTAATTTCTATTGTGTCTGCAAGTGAATGCTATGATGGGCTACATGTGATTGTGTGTTAATTGATTTGGAGTTTTTCTTAACCGTTGCAGGTGAAGCGAGCTTCTGCTACAATATATAGTATACGTATATGTATTTAATTTGATTGTACCGCAGAAATAGATAATTGACGGGCTCAATGTCTGCCCTTTCCTACTGCCAAGATAGCTGGATCCATAAATTCTATATCCTCAGAGCCACCCATACCTCCAATTCGGTAATCTTAACTCATAGCTGAGAGGATGGTGGGCCATTGAGCAAATGAGGATTGATAAATTTTTGAGTGATCTTCATAACTCAAGTGGGTTTTGAGTCGAGATTTGTACGAGAGCGCTAGGTGAGTAAAAGAATTGAATAAGCCCAAAAGTTACCTGGGCTACTTTAAAAAAGTTCAGAGTCTGTTCTATATAATACATGAAGACACGTAACTACTACTACAAGTGAAGCCTTTGCATTTATTATTGTGGTATAAATCACAATAAATAAATTTATAAATCAAAAAAAGTTATTTTCGTTGTCTTTTCTCTTTACTAAAAAGTTTCCTCCGCTGCACCCTTTTATATTTTAATCACCCGCTGTCTATGATGTTTTGCTCTCTTCAATGTCTTCATCAACTATCGATATTTTATTTTCTTAATAAAATGAGAGAAAATTGGATGGTGTGATTTGAATCAAGGACACTTTGATACCATAAGAATTTTTCAATGTTTAACCACTAAATTAAATTAAATAATCATTTTATTGCTATCAAAACTAATATTTACGCTTTTTTTTACAAAAAAAAAAATTTTTATTTGTATATTTTCATATGTAATCATAATTTAATGTATTATATAGAGAAAAATACAAATATAAGATTTGTGTGTTTACAGCCGTGTCCTAGATGTCTCACGACACCAATAATTCAAGTGTATCTCACTCAGTGTGGTACAACTATTCACTTGGCTATAGTATCGGACACATTATTTTCAAACAATCTTATCTACATTTTACATTCATCATCCCCCGTGGTACAGGTTACAGACGAAAAACAATAAATCAGTGTTGTACATATCTTCTTGTCCAGAATTTCATAGCCGATGTCTTCAAAGTAAAGTTGCCCATTGGTGGGGCTGCAGTCTGAGGAAGCAATTTTTCTATCTTGGAATATTTCTTAACTATTTAGTGCTTGAATTGTATATCAATATTTACATTCAATTTATTTGCTTAATAAGTATGGGTTTCACCATCAATTTTAATGACTTTCTTCAATTGGTATAATTTAATAACTTGCTTTATCTTCAACCCAAATGAGTAAACTCCATTTAAGTATTTTTAAATATGTAGTTTAATTCCACTTTATTTTTTAAACACCATTATCACTAACATCCATGATTTTTTTTTAAATCACAAATAAATGTAAAAGTCCTTTAAAATTCATTGTACACATAAAAGAAAAGAATATGTATATATATATATATATATAAACAAAGGTTAGGTTAAAAAGACACATATAAACTCTGGATTTAATTCAATATAAATATAATTAGTTGAAAATTTTAAACCCTCAAAATATCCCAACTAAAAACTTAAAAATGAAAAACAAATTTGATAGAAGCAACAGATCATTAAAGTGAAAATAAAGACGCACAGTTCTAATATTAAAAACATTTGGTATTTGACTGAACATCCAATCTTAAATACGTTATTAATTCCATCGTATTATTAATTATTTTGCACTTGCACGGTCGAGAAAGAGCATGGATGCTTTATATTTATATAATCCATAAAGATAAAATAAATAAATAATTGGTTTTCATTTTGGTAAAGCAGCAAGTGGGAATTGAAAAAGGGGAGATTTGACAAAACAAAAAAAGGATGATTGATGTAATGTATTTGGGAAATATTTTTATAAAACAAAGTATACGTGGCTCTTCTCTAACCATTCCATTCTTCCATAATGTATACGTCTCAAGCCTCACCTTTTTTTTTAGCCCACCAATAATTATAAAACTAATCATTAAACATCTGAATGTTAACGTTAGCTTGTTTTAATCTTGGTAACAACATTCTTCTAATATGATTACAATAAATTTTAGTTAATACATGTTTAATTGATAAAATATATGTATAAATAATTTAATAAGATTTATTAGATGCTTTAATTATATTTAGTATGATAAAATACACCAATTATAATCATAAATAATTATTTACTTGATGAATTTTTGAATAGTTGTGGCCTAGTCTTTTCCCAAACTCCTGTCCTAAGTGTATTAAAATTTAAAAAAATTGTGAAAAAGAAATGTCCCAATAGCGCTTTTAATCCAACTTTAAGAGACAACGGAGAAAGCAAAGGCAACAACCTTTCCAACAATTGGTGGGTTGCCTCTGTACTTACAAATCACTTTTTTCTTTCGGAGCTGTACTTTTTTTTTAGCACAAGTTTGCTAAATGTTACGAGGAATATCACCAACGCCATTATAATTTGGGGCGTACGTCCAATAATGCTCAAAATATCTTTCCCCTAATCATTTTAAATAATCACTATTTAGATTTGACCCCACTATAAGTGAATTATTTAGATTTTATTCATATTTAAATCTTATTATATTAATAAGGTATATTTTAATTATGAATTTGATTATGTTTTATAAATGTAATTTTAGTTTATTCGATCATATAATGTTCGTAATTACGATTGTATCATGTAATTTTAACTTAAAAAAACAAACCAAATTCAATTCGTTGCTTTTTTTTTTAAATCCCTTTTTTTTTATGTAATAATCCTAAAAAGAGGGTAGAATATAAGAGAACGGGAAGTGTTTGTTGCTTGCTATGTAGGAACTTTTCTCCTTTTTAAAAAAAAATTAGGAAGCAAATTTTATAAACCTAAAAGAGAGACTTTTTCTGTTTAAGCTTCTTTGCCTAAAGAATCAGATTTCAAAATAGAATTATAAGTTTCTAAATATGGAAGAAGCTGACAAAATCGGTAAACAATGTTAATTAGACCTTAATGCTACACAAATACGAATCCAATTAGCAGTATATTGATATTTATCTCCAACAGAGTATACCTTTTTTAGTTCATCAAAACATGTTGGGAACCATTGAGTCTGACAGTGTAATGAAACAGTACTTGAATCCTATCATCTATGCACGTTTATGCTGCAAATGTTTGAGAGATGAGGCTTATGGTGGTGCCTGTGGTGGCTTCATCTGAAAATGGATTTGAGGGGTGTTGGTGGTGGTCGCCGAGGTAAAACAGAGATTCCGGGCCAGTTGATTGAGAGGTTCTGAAGGAAGAATGGCAGCAGAAGGAGAGGTAGCCAAGTATGAGAATCCTGATGATGCTGCAGTTGAGAACAGTGGCATTGGTGTAGCACTGACTTGACTTTGCATTTGCCAAGCCCAGTTGGGGAGGCCTTGCGGAGGACCAGTTTCAACTCTTGTCACCGTCGCTCTTTCCTGCACACAAAAATCAAGACTTCGGGTGATACATGGATCAATCTAAGATTTCGTTGAAGAGGCAATAAGAATAAAAAACAATGCCACTAACAACTCGCTCACCAAAAACATGAGATCATACAGTCCCTAAAACTACTTGCACACATAATTAACATTCCAATCAATGACTAAAAGCCCTTCAAACTTACACATGTTGGATACCATGGTTTGAAACAAAGCATTAACTACACTAATAAATTTAGGCAGGATCTATGAAATTGAACAATACAGTGTTGGTTTAGGAAGTATAACGAATTGATTGGGATGAGGATATTTGCTGTTTTCAAGCAAAAGTCCAAATGATGGAGTGAACAAAGGTTTAAACTTCAACCCAGATGTAGTGCAATGAAGTTTTTTACCTCACTATGAATGTACGCAGGATATACACTATTCCAGAAAATTGGCTGATCTGAAGTCCCCGCTAACCCTTTGTGAGCTGGACCCACTGTCGCCGCAGTAGTGTTTGCCGCCTGTAAAAGTAAATCATGGAGAATAATAATGATCACACCATCTATCTACAACAGGGTGAGGTAAAGTTACTCGACCGTCATCCAAAAACTGGCAGTGTATGTTTCCTAGAGCTAGCAAACACCATTTCATCCCAAAGCTTGCAACAGACATCATTATTTACTGGTAGGTTGAATTGAACAACAATACTCTCAATGTTGTAAAAATAAAACATACAAGAAAATTAAATTAGTTCAATTAAAAGTTACCCTCAAAATCTTCCTGCCATTTATGTCAAAAGAGCCAGAACAAAAATGGGGATGCCCCTCATTTTCTATGGACTCGTTCCCAACAGGTGGAGATATCCCCAGGTTCAGATCAAGGTGGTGAGTATCGCCTGCATAAAAACAGCATTTAAACACAAGTTAACAGAGCACCAGCAAAAAACAAAGTTCTTATCAAGCAAATAACCTTTGATTAAGAAGATTATTTGAAACATTGTAGTCACAAAATTAGAAGCAACCAGTAAAAAATGATACCTTCCTTACTTGTATTAAAGATCATATCCCCTTCATATGAACTCGGCTCAAAGTTGGTGACTGCTTCCCTTCCATTACATTTGATAGCTGCTTTGTCATAGGCCCTGATTTCCAGAAAACATCAAAACGTATATGTTGAATGGAATCCAATTGAAGTTGAGAATTGAGGATAATAAAGTATCAGGTAGAGTGTAATTCATGATCATAAAGACCTTGCAGCTTCTACTTCACTGTTGAATAGCCCAAGATAAATATACCTGCAAGCAAGCATCGTAATCCCCACTATAAAACACTACCCCAATTGTTTTTCCTCTTTCAATTTAGGCATCTTGGACTTGTTTTTCCATTCAAAGAGAACCGAAAAACAAACCATGAATTAATTCCACACAAAAAAAAGTAATTATTGGATACTTCACTACTAAACCATAGTATGTTTTATACAAAATTGAAAATTCCAAAAACAACTTTCCTCACTTTTTGCCAAGGAATTGCCCCATCCGAGCTTCCCACCGGCCACATTTGTGCAGCGTCACTCCTCGATATTTTGAGCTTCCCCTCGAAAAGCCAGTACTCTGCCGCCTAAGTATGTGCACAAATTCTTCCTTTGTCAAATTCTTCGTCTGTGCATCAACAAAAGAAAGAAGGCCACAACTTAACTATCATTCACAGTTCAAACCATTTAGCTTTTATAGTGAGTTTTATTAATCAATTTTTTTCTACAGAAGTAATCAAATCCCAACCTGTTTCAAATCGTCCTCATAATCACTAAGGCTGAAATTGATATCAGCATCAACCCCTCGGAATTTAATAGCCGCTCGATCATAGGCTCTGAATCGAACATACCCAGATTTTAGAAAACTAGGATAAACCTAAGTTCAAAAACTAGATTAACAGATTATTTTCCAGTAATATACCTAGCTGCAGCATGAGCAGTGTCAAATCCACCTAGAAAAATTAAAATCCAACCGAAAAAGGGAAAGTTTGATCAAAACATTCCGTTATGAAGAGAGAAAAAAACTTGATAATAAAGTTATCAACAAAATCAAAGCAAAATTAACTAATTATATCCATACCCAAATATACTTGTTTCCCGCAATCCCTGAAAATAAATAAATAAAACTGAGCAAAATTTCCAAAAGAAAATTCAGTTAAAACTACTCAACAAACCAAGTCAAAATTCAGTTACACGTAGTAGCCAATCAGAAAATTCTCTTAAAATTAGAAGTTCGAAAGGAATGGAAAATTACCAGATATGAGATTCCCATCTTCCCGTTCTTCTGTAGAAAGTAACTCCTCGATATTGTGAACTTCGAGAGCGAGGTCCTCTACGGCTTTTCTTCACCGTCGTCTGTGACGGTTGTTGATTTTGTTGTATCGCCTGCGGGTGATCAACTTCTTTTCCCTCGAACGATAGATCGATCCAATTATAGTTACTACCGTTTCCCGAGCTTTGCCCTTCGAGCCTTCGGAAATCAGCTCCATCTCCCTTCACCGGAAAAAGTTCCTTAGCAACCACCACCGGTGCGCCGTCGTTTTCGTACTCGCTTCCTCCACTCCCGACTTTGAGTATGTCGAAGTTTAGAGTGAACGCGTCTCCCTTGGCGCGTGTGGAGCACGACTCAGTATCATCGTTTATGATTGACGAATTAGAGGTTTCGGATTCGTCCATTTGGTTTCCAGGACATTCGTTGAGCTTATCAGTAAAGAGAATCACAGAGTCAGATTCTTGAGTCGAATCAGTCGACGCGACATTGAGATTAAGATCTAGCATTTCGTCTCAACTTCTTGTCGAATTGAGCTTTGGGTCGCAAAATTTTACAATAAAATAAAGAAATAATTAACTCTGATCTTCAAAAACAAATCATCAGTCAGCGTTTTTTTTTGTCTGAAAATAATCAAAACCTACGGCAGTAACCGACTCGATCACAACGCTAACTCGGAGCTTCCGGAAAAAAGGAGTTTCGAATATTAAAAAAATATATCAAAACAAACAAACTTCGGATCTCTTCCCTGTGACGGAGGACTAAGAAGAGATGAAAGAAGGGAAAACAGCGCAGTAAGGAAGCAAAGGAAGTTCAGAATGATGCTGGCATTATTGAATTACTCGGCGATCAGTTTATAACAGAAAGAGATGATCGCCGACTAACTGAATCCACAACAAAAAACAGAGAGAGAAGGCGATGGTACGTATGAAAGAAACATTACAGACTACATTTTTATCAAGCTGCAGCGGAATATATAACATTTTCTCTTTCTCGGACACCGGATTCTCCGGTTACCAGTTTCCCTTATATTGTTAAAAATTAAACAGGTACATGTGATTTTGAAGTCCTAATATGGACATTATTTAGTGTATTGATGGCAAACATATTTTTTACAAGTCGACTAGGATTTTAATTATTGTTTTTTAATAATTTAAAAAATAAAATATTTATTATTATTATTATAATTTTATGGCAAAATACTTATATTGTTAATATATTTAATAATAATCTATTTGAATCTAGTAAGTGTTTTTGATGATGAAGAATATATTTTATTTAATTAATTTGTACTCAGATAATATTATCTCTAAATGATACATAATTTTTATCATTTAAAATGAAATATATATTATTTTGAGATCACATTAGAATACAAAACAATGATTAATAATAATAATCCTTTTATTTATATATGAAATACAAATGGAAACAGTCTCAATAAACATTGATCCTACATTTTTAGGAAAACAAACAATTCAGAGTTTTCCAATTATTTATCCTTAACCCTTATTTAATATAAATATAAAAATTACAAGTCAACAACTTTGCTTTTTATATTCGTGAAAATTAAAACTATATTTTAATTTTAAAAAACAGCCATTTTTATACTAGTAATTGTTTTGAAGTGACACGAAACAAGTCGTCTTTATGATAAAAGAATTATTGTTATTCTTTAAGAATCTACGTTCGAACATCATAGATATTAGGAGTATGAACGTTCAATGTTGAGAATTATTTTTAAATAAATATTACCTTATATTTACATCAAATTAATAAAAAAATGTTTTGGAGTGGTATTTTAATACGGTGAAGTAGTTAAATTTAGTACTTGTTTAATTTAAGTAATAAAATTAATATGTAAATATATTTAAATAGAACTATATATAAAGATTAAATTAGTTATTTTTACTTGCCTGATCGACTTGTAATGTTTGTGATCCTTTTTTTAGCCACTGTTTGTGAGAAAAAATTAATTTCAGATCCAGTTAATTTAGTATTGCCCCAAAAATGAATATCTGAAGGCATTTCAATGGTTCTGACGGCGGCGAAATATTTTCTTTCGTCTTCGTGTTCCTCGTGTAAATATAAAGACATTAATGGTGCATTCAAATAATGTTGCCCCACTATAAGCCATTATGTCGTGTCCATACTAGTACGCTACTGACTGCCAGGTGTCGATTTTCTCTGGTTTAGGGACCACGCGATTACACATTTGATATTCCAGTCAAGTATTGCCTCTACGACCTACCGGTCTGGTATTTATTATCTAACGGCTAGATTTTGCTCGTATTCATATCGGGTCAGCTAATCCTACGTTAATGGATAATCCAATCCCCATTTTGGGGCATCTTTTGCACTTTTCCGACCTATAATTAAGATGAAAGGAAATTATTATTTGCTTAAAAAGCATCGTTATTTATTGTCCAATATATATATATATATATATATATATAACAAATTTGGGAGAACATAAAACAACACACTTTATAAAGTATTATTATTATATTATAAATTTTATTGTGAATGAGAGGACAGGAACCGTACACGTCGATGGCTGCCAGCAGTTGGCCAGCTGTCAATCACTTTCTGCCCGTGCTACCCTACTTGAACTATTGTGGTTGTTTCGTTTTTTTTCCGGTTGTACCCTCTCTAATATTGCCTATTTTCGTTTGTATCCCCGCCGTCCTTCCCCACCCCCAGCATAAAAAACACGTGGTTAGTTTTTTTTTTTACTCTTTTTAATTGATAGTTACGCTTCTTTGTTTTAACTCATGAATGGCATTTATACCTCCGCTCACAACTAACAATAGTTTTTTATATAAATAATTTAATATTTTAATTAAAAAAATAAATATCCTATTCTTAATTTATAAAATGGAACACAAATCTTAAATCAAAAAAATATTTTAATAGAGTGTATAGGGGGCGGGCTCGACAGAGTGGTGTCAAGGAGACTAGACTTAGAGTTTGTAAGTTGAATGTAAGCACATTAAATGCAAGGTTGTTGGAGCTTAATGACGTACTAAGTAATAGAAAAATAGATTTTGCATGTATTCAAGAGACTAGGTGAAAAGGGGCTCACACCAGAGAGCGTAACGGGTACAAGTTGTGGCATTCAGGCTTAGATAAAGCTAGAAATGGGGTGGGTATCTTGGTATCCTCTAGACTCAAAGAAAATGTAGTTGAAGTTTGTAGATACCGTGATAGGATCATGATGATTAAAGTTATTATAGAAGCGAAAGTAGTGAATGTCCTTTCAGTGTATGCCCCATAAGTCGGCCTAGGGGAGGGGGAAAACGTTGCTTCTAGGATTCGTTAGATGATGTACTTAGGAGCATTCCGGAGGACCAAAGAGTTTTCATAGGGGGAGACTTCAAAGGCCATATAGGTAGTGCAATCGACGGGTATGACGGTGTTCATGGGGTTTCGGTTTTGGAAGTAGGAACGAGGAGGGATGTACGTTGCTTGAATTTGCTATTGCACATGATATGGTGGTTACTAACTCCTTCTTTAACAAGAGAGATGTGAACTTGATTATATTCCATAGCGGGGGACATTATACCCAAATTGACTACATCCTGGTTTGAAATCGGGATCGATGGGCTTGCATTGACTGTAAGGTGTTCCCTGAAGAGACATGTGCATCACAACACATATTGTTGGTTTTGGTGTTCCGCGTACGCCACGGGCGGAGCACTCATAGGAGGGCTAAACTAGGTAAATCTATGATCCTTTAATAATGCAGATAGGAGGGCTAAACTAGGTAAATCTAGGATCCTTTAATAATGTAGATATGTTATGGAAAAATATGGTAAATTCCATCAGAGAGGTGGGCAAAAACACTCTTGGGTTGTTGACAGGGAAGGCCAAGGAGCATAAAGAATCGTGGTGGTGGAAAAACAAAGTACAAACTAAGGTGAAGACAAAGCAAACTTCCTTCAAGGAGTTTTTACAATGTAATGACGACGAAGAAAGATCAAGAGCTAAACAAAGATACAAGGAGGCAAGGATAAGGCATACGAGGAAATGTACAAGAGATTAGACACCAAGGAAGGACAAAACGACATCTTCAGGCTTGCAAAATCCAGGGAGAATATGAAAAATGATATAGGTAACATTAGGTCTATTAAGGACAACAATAGTGCTCTTTTAGTGAAAGATCATGATATTAAGAGAGTTTGGGGTAATTACTTCTTTGGCTTATTTAATGACGGTGCCTCTCCCTGTAGAGATAGTATCATTGATGGGTCAGCCGACCATTATACTACGGCCAATGACTGCTCTACAAGTAGGATTGGGATTGAAGAAGTCAAAATAACTCTTAGAAATATGGGGAGGGACAAAGCTGTCGGTCCAGACCAAATTCCTATCACTGTGTAGTTGGTCCTAAGAGAATAGGGAGTTAAGTGGTTGACCTACATCTTTAAGATTATATTAGAGACTATCAAGATACCAGAGGAGTGGAGAGAGTCTACGGTGATACCAATCTATAAGAATAAAGGAGATTCCTAACGTTGTGGTAACTACAAAGGTATTAAACTACTCAGTCATACCATGAAGCTATGGGAAATGGCGATAGAGGCTAGGTTGAGACAGGTTACCAGGGTTTTGGAAAACCAATTTGGCTTTATGCCAGACAGGTCTACTACGGAGACGATTCATCTACTTCGACGGCTTATGGAGAAATATAGGGAAAAAATAGAGATTTTCACATGGCGTTCATTGACCATGAGAATGCGTATGATAATGTTCCCCGCGTTACGATCTGGAAGACCTTGGAAATGAGACGGATCCCAACTGCTTATATCCGGGCGATTTATGATATGTACTGTAGATCTACTACTTACGTCAAGACTACAGTTGGCGACACCGATGCATTCTCGGTGGAAATCAGACTCCACCAGGGGTTGGCTCTTAGCCCTTACATCTTCGCCTTGATTATGGACGACATCTATTGTGCGACACCAGACGGTGTTCCATGGTATATGATTTTCGCTGACGACATTGTCCTAGTTGCTGAAACAAAAACTGAGCTGAATAGCAAACTGGCTACCTAGAAGACTGCTTTGGAAGAAAAAGGTCTACGGATCAATATTGAAAAGACAGAGTATTTATGTTCAAACTTCAGTGGGAACCAAAATGATGAAGATGTAGAAGTATGCATCGACGGATACGTTCTCCCCTCAAAAGATTATTTCAAGTACCTAGGGTCTATGATATATAAATATGGGGGTGTAGATGATGACGTTACACACCGTATAAAGGTGGGATGGCTAAAGTGGAGGGTTGCTACTAGAGTTTTATGTGAAAAGAAGGTGCATGTAAAACTTAAGGGAAAATTTTATAGAATGAAAATAAGACCAGCGTTGCTATATGGATCATAATGTTGGGCAATCAAGAAGGGTCACATAATGAGGATGGAGGCCGTAGAAATGAGAATGCTTCGATGGGCATGCGGTAGGATTCTGTGGGATATGACACCAAACTCTACAATTAGGATGTCCTTGGGGATGGTGCATGTATCCGAAAAATTGAGGGAGGGAAGACTACGGTGGTTTGGGCATGTCCTTAGGCGACAACCGTCGGATGCGGTTAGGAGGGTAGAGTCGATTACAGTCGACAGTGCCAGAAGGAGAGGACGACCAAGGAGGAAGTGGGTAGACTGCTTGATATCTGATTTGAAGGATTTAGCACTTACCGAGGACATAACCTCTGATAGGAAAGTATGGTGACTTAAGACCAGGGTAGCCGAGTAGTGTGGGTCACAGACATAGGGTGTAGCATCTCTGTCTCCTTTTAATGCCTTTGTAGTAATTTTCAATTACTTTTACTTTTTATACGTTTATGTCATTGGAAATTATGAAGGCTTAGAACTAAGGTAGCAGAGTAGTGTTGCCTTAGTTTACGTTTTAACTCATTTGACTTTATGCCTTCTTGTAGCTTGCTATCGCTGACTTCTGTGCATCATTCTCTTAATGTTTTCTCTTTCTAAATTTACTCAGGAGTTACGTTTCTGTCTATATGCAGAGATTTTTAAGTAGAGATTTATTTGTAGGGATTACTTACCCTTACAGACGCGCATATGAAGACTGCATATAATTATTGTTCAACTATGTATTTATTTATTTATTTATTTATACATGCATTATATTTTATCTTTATTTTTAATTTTCTGACTGCCGGAGGTCTTACACGGAAGCTGCTCTCAACTTGGCGTTGGGGGCAGCCTACTACCCTACCTCCCCCTTATCCCATTGCATATGGAAATAGAGTTTTGTTGTTGTTGTTTCCAGTAAAGTTATAGCTCCTTAGACAAATATGAAAAAGTAATTTTAAAGTTTAATTCGAATTCAAAATGATATATATTATTTAATATATAAATTTGAGAAAGTAATAAATATAATTTGATTAAAAATATAAAATTTTATTAAAATAGCTTTTTACTTTATATAGTTTCATTTGTAATCACATATCTATCTTATAAATAGATACTAAAGATTAGAGTTAGATTAGATTGTTCATATAAAGTCTTATATTCTTTTTCTCTTGATATTAATGAATTTCCTTCTTTTTTTTATTTATAATTTTTTAAAAACAATTCACATAAAATATTAATGTTTATTTTATTGAAGGATCATTATTACTTTTTAACAGGCGGAAACAACAAACTTCGTCTTCATGTTTTGATAAACAATAAATAGTTGAAATCTTTGACCGTGAAAACCACTTTTTGAGAAATGCTATCGAAGTCTAGGAAGTTGGAAATTTTGTTCATAGGGAACGACATCCCATCTACAAAATATTGAAAAAAAAATTAAGTCTAGACCGTATGTGCTTTTTCCTTTGTTATTGAGGTAGACACATGTTTCCAATGGCATTTTTTGCTTTCACTCTTAACCAATATGAATTTTTTTATTAATTTAATCATAATCTCAATATATTAAAATTATCACGTTAATTTGTAATTTATTTGAATTCTCCTTTTCCTTTTTACTGCTAATTATGTTTGGGTGGACTTGATTTTAGGGTTTCAAAGTATATAATGTGGGCCTTTGCCTCGTGATTCTTCAAATGAGGATATGACATGTCTTTAAAAATTGAAATGTTTTATTCACGTGAGCTTTCTTCTTTTTTTCCTTTTGGGTCCCATGAGAAAAAACTCATGATTTGTAAAACCATGTATAAAATCGTGACTCATGCGGTTTGAGTATTTTTCATAACCAATTCATGAATTAACATATACAAAACTCCAGTATTTTAATGCTTTTAGCCCACTGTTTTTATTAAAAGAAAAGAACATCGTATTGTACAGATAAAGGACTGCCTTTAGCAAAGCTTTCCAACCTCTTTGTTTATAAAAAATGAAATATTATAACTACTCTTACATCCCAAGCACCAATACTAAAAATGAAAAATATAGACTGTTATTCAGTACACCGATGATTGAATTTTTTTTTCCACCCCAAAAATAGAATGAAGATCATATATGTGAAATGGAAAAATAAAGAGAGAGGGCTTGATTTTTCGGGAAGATACGACTTGGGGGTTAGTTATTGTAAAATACAAAGTTAAATGCATTTGGTTGGACGTAGCAGATTGTATATATGTTTTCTAATAAAGTGTCTATTGGGTAATTAAAGGTCTCGCGATTAGTTTAATTGCAACCAAATTCCCAATTTCTCAAATAAAATGTAACATCTATAACCGACGTTTTTGTTCATGAGAAAATATTTTATAAATTAATCTTCAATGATTTGTTTGATACTCAAAAGAAACGATTTCTAGAATAACATATGATTTTAACGGTATGTATTTAAAATTCATAAAGTACAAAATCTAGTGAAATTATAATATATCATTTGTAAAAGTTAAAAATACGCGTTATAGATTTTTTAAATTACCATACATGTTTTTATTCATTAACTCAAATTAATTGATTAGAGTTTGATTGAGGAGCAAAGTAAAATGATTGAGAATGTTTTCAAAGACAAATATCGGGCATGACACATGAGTGAAAATAACGCATGTAAAAACCTGCACCCAAGAGCTTTACTTTATTTCATAATCTCTGGGGTTGAGACTCCATTAAAGCATAAACGAGGTTTGAAGATAGGAGTAGGTTAACGATGGGGTTTTTCTTTTTTTGCATTCTAGAACAAGTTAATCACGCTACATCAGATATTTTATGGGACATGTCGCAGTTTTGAACACAAATTTTCACAGTCAAAATAATCAATTCATCTTTTAACCTTTAAAAAAAGTAAAAATGTGCAGAAAAAAAATCTTATATTCGACCGATCGAACAAATCTTTTAGGGGACAAAAAGATCAAATATAGGTGAAAAACCATGACAAGTTGTTGTCATTTATGAAGGGGCAGTCCAGTCATTTCAGTTAAACCCATCTCACATATTTAGGTTAGTTAAACCCATCTAGTAATATATATTTTTTTGAAAATTTTTTCATATTATTATCCAAGAACCAGTACAAAATTCACTGCCACAATCAATACAGTCAAAGAAGAACGAAAACAACCTCTCTAAAGGTATTAATCCCCCAAGATATACAAAAGTTCATGTTAACATCATTATTCTTAATGACCATCCTAAGCGCCTTCACCCTAACAATTCCTTTAATATAATTCATCATACTCTCAATATTTCTACTAATGTCCCTAAACTACCTATAATTTCTTTCCTCCCATATACATTATACGTATGCACACCAAACTATCTTAAATATAAACACAAGAAATGATTTACCTTTAAACCGAGAAATCATTCAATCCAAAACTTCCCGCATTCCTGCCAACATTCCACGCCAAGCCATCTAGTAATATTTTAAAGTATAATAGACTGAATTTCTTTTATAAAAAAGTCAACTTTTTTTAATTAATATATAACCGGCAATAAAATTTATTTAATATAATATGTCTATTATTTTTTAAAATTAAAATTTAAAAACTGAACCCCTAATTATATATTTTAACAAATATAGAAATCATAATCTATTGACCTACATTTTAAATAGTAACGTCAAAAATTTTAAACTCTAAATATTAAATAGGACATGTGATATTAAAATATATATTAGTGCAAATTAAAATTATATAATTTAGGTATCATATAATTCTTCAATAAATAAATGAGTAAAACATATCAAGATTTTTTTGTTTTAATTTAAAATTGAAAATATTATTTAATGTATTAAATAATATTTTATAAAAATAATATATTAAAATAATAAGTTATCAAATATATTATTAAATTCAAGGGTTATATATTATTCAACAGTGCAATTAATGTCAATAGTGGATATAGAAATTCAAAAGTGTGAGTATAAAGTTTCAATACTCTTTCTTTTTATAATCGACTATACATATTTTTTTCTCCCTTTGACACATAAACTAAATTAGCAGCTTTCCCACAATAATAAATATGCATATACTTCCCTCTAAAGCCATACGTTGTCCTTGATTAACGTGTGCCTTATTTTTTCGATCAGTTTATTTTTTCAATTATTACTAATATTTTCATTTTGTAATAATTTTTTAACAATAATATTATAATCTTAAAATACCATATCATTAATTCAAATTCATGGATCAAATTCATAAAATATATAAGTTTAATATAAAAATAAATATCTAAACTATACATTTTTTTATTTAGATGCTTAAATTATTTTTTGATCAATCAAAGTATCTAGCGTTATCATTTAAAGTGTTATGACCGTAATAATGTTGAAAATGTTTGTTAAATGACATGTATCACGTGTTAGTAATTTAGAAAATTTTATTAAAAAAACTTAAAAAATATATTTTAAAAAAACTCAAAAATTTTGGGGAAAAAACTCCAAAAACTTTGAAAACCTTTATTTCAATCTTTATACCACGTCAGCCATCATCGTTGTCATCGATCGAACCTTTTTATGATCGAACCTCCACCAACGACACAATCCCTGACAAGCTAGCCTTTGAAATCATTTCAACCGCCGTTACCAAATGTTAATATTGGATAAAGGGAGACAAGAGATTAGTGGGTGAGACTGAGAGGGAGGAAGGTGGGAAGGGAGAGAGGATGAGAGGAGGAGAAGGAGGAGTGATAGAATTTTTCTTTTTCAAAAATTATTTTTTAAAATATAATAATTTATTTTAATTATTTAAAAAATAAAATCTTTAAAATTATTAAAATATGATACATTTTACTTAAAGATATTTTTTAATAGCCGTTATGATCATAATACTTAAAATGATAATAATTTTAACGTTAAATATTTGAATCAATCAAAAAATAATTTATGCACTTAAATAAAAAGGTATAATTTATGTACTTATTCTTATATTAAATAATATGTTACAAAATATTAAATTAGCACTGGAAAGATGATAGAGAGAACTAACCTACACGTGACAGTTAAAAGAACAAATAAATAATGTCCATAAAAGGAAAAAAAAGGTATATGTGGTGGGGAAGGCAAACGGGAGATAATGTTTTTGTTGGCCACAATGTCACACTATTAGTGCCTTTGACAACCTTCCCATTAAGGTAGTCGGCTTACCTTAAAATCCTTTGTTAAATTAATTTTCCAATTTTAGAAATTCGAAGTTTTATAACCAATCCTTTTCCTTGACCCGACACACCACCACGATGGTGACTGATCCACCGGCTATACCCCGTTGCCCGTCACCATTGATCCTGATTCCTAAGTCAATGCGGGAACCTATCCTCTTTATCCATTCTCCAACCAATTCTCACTTGCCACGTGCATTGTTGATCCTACTTTAACTATCACCGTCCATTTTAGTCAACATGGCTGGGGTTCAACATGGCTGGTGTTTTAAATGATTTATTATATCGACGGTTGTCTTTTGTTAGTAGTAAAATAGAGAGACTATCTTTTTTGGATTCTCTTAACAATTTGTGGGTATTTTAATAATCTCTAATTAAGGAGGAGGGTGAGGATTTTGATCCTAATGAATATTGAACCTCTTAAAAGATAAAGATGTCTCAATTAAAATCTTTTAACTATATGCACTACAGACTGTTGAGGTTAGATGTACTATTTATGATGAAAAAGTACATTAATTGGAAAGCAAACACATCAACGGTTGACATTGAATCAAGAGAGATTTTTACCTAATCGTACTTATTAAAGTAATATTTAAAAGAAAACTATATTAAATGTTCTAATTACAAATCAAAATAGGTATTTAAGGGTTGTTTTGTTTTAGAAAATATATATTTGTTTTCATTTTTATATTCTTAGAAAATAAACAACGTTGAAGAAAATATATTTGGTTGTAAAATTGAAAAATGATTTTTAGAAAATAAAAACAAAAATCAGTGAAAATATGAAAATATAAAAAAAATGTTTTCAATATTTTTATTAAAATTATTTTGGAAATTTGAAGAATAGGAAACATGAGATATAGATTTTTAATTTAACTTACATGAGTTCAAATTATTCTAACAATATATTTTTTGATTTAATAGTATCTTAAACCCTCAAACTTTTGTAAAAAACAATATGATCCCTGAACATTTTTTACACTCAATATAGTCCTTAAATTAAATTTTTTAATAATTTAATTTTGTAGTATTTTTATATTTAATGTATTGAATATCTTAATAATTGTTTATATTTTATTTTTTTAATTTAAAAAAATCTTCAAACTTTCTAAAAAAATCAACTACGCCATCAAACTTAGCCAAAAAATCAATTAAGTCTATCTATTACATCATTGTCTATCGTGTACTGCCACAACAATATCTAAACTGCGACATCAATATTGTAGATTGTCATGTAAGTTTATGAACTATCGTGTAAGTACCTTGACAATCAACGTTTTTAATTTTATTCTTCAAAGGGTTAGATTTTTTTTAAGTGCAAAAAATTTCAGAGGCTACACTAATTATTTTTTTACAAAAGTTTGAGGGCCTCAATTACTTTTAAATATACTTTGATTTTATTAATACTTTTGTGTGCTCTTGCTTATAACAATATTTTTGTGTAATTTTAAAATTTATTTGATGTCCAATATACAAATAACATTATATTCTTATTATACACTACAATAAATTTTGTGTTATGAAATTTCTTATCAACTTTATTGTTTTATTTTTACATAACTCGCATGTTAAATTAATGTAATGAATATTTTAATAATTATAGTCTAATTTAATTTTTTTAATAATTATTTATTCATTTCTATTTTTTAAAAATTGATACAAAATATATTTTTACTAATTTATTTTTGAATTTAAATATTTATTTATATTAACCAAACATGTTTTCAAATTTTTTAAAAATTAAAAATAAAAACTATTTTTTAAAAATAAAAATAAAATATATTTTTTAGAATCAAACGAACTCTTATTTTTTTCAAGAATATTTTTAAATAAAATGATTCATTTATCCTCGTTCATATCATAAATATTTTTATATTTTTAAAAATAATATTTTATCTATTAAAAGTTATTTTAAAAAAACAACTCCAAATATTCATATTGATTTTTATCCCCAAGTGTGATAGTGAGAGTGGTTTGGGACGAATGAAAGAAGCAAACGGCAACCATGGAAAGCATGAAGTTCCTGACAGTAATAATGATAGGATAAGATATGAAGGGAGCAAAGTGAGAAAGCCCAGTCTCTGGAACCACGCGTCCATCAAACGCAGTGAATCGTACGGGGACTTAAAGACGGCCTTTATATCATATACGGTGGTCCCCTTTAAGGAAACCTCGTGCTTGGTTCTTATTCCGTGATTCCAGGGTTTTAACTTTTAACACGCGCCCATCATTTCCATAAACTTACTTCCCATGTTTACCTCCTTGTACTTCCCTGTATGTTATTCACTTTTCCTATTTTAACCATACCCTACGTTAAACGAATAAACCTCTGGCTTCGTTATCTTTACTTTATTAGGTATTAATTTGGTTTAAAATAAATAAATATTCAAAAAAAATAATTAAAAATAACTATTAAAATTTCAACCACAAAACTAAAAATCAATTACCCTTTCACGTATAATTATTTATTAAACAACTGTTAATGTATATTTTACAAAAAATAATAATTTAACAAAAAATTACAGTATATATATGTTAAACAATAACGAAGAGGCATATAAATTAAGATCCATGCACCTTTTGTCTTGTTTTTTCTTAAGTGCGAAAATGCGAATGTGAGTCATTCGACTAAACTACTAGCCATTATTTAAAATATTTAGCTCGCTTCTATAAAAAAAAATAGTTGGCATGTGCCAAAAATCAATTAACTGGACTTCTTAATTGAAAAAGTTACACTTAATTTTTTAATTTTTGTTTATTGAAAATTACTAAACTGAATATATTTTATTGTAATTACAACACTGAAAATTACACTTAACATTTCACCTTTTTAATTAGAGAAAATAACTTCAGTGACCGAAAATGTCTTATAATATATAATATTAACGAATTTTTTTTAGATTTGCGAAAATGACCAACAAATTCGCAACGCGAATTCCAATTTCGTAACTCAGTTTCCAAATTCGCAACACTGAATTTCAAATTCGCAACCTGATTTCTGAATTCGCAACGCGAATTTTGTTTTCGCAACTCATTTTTTGAATTCGCAACACAAATTTTAATTTCGCAACAGGTTTTAGTTTCGCAACACAAATGTTTTGGGTATATAACTACGCAGCAGCTGCAACTCATAACCTAAATCCCTAAATCGCAACTCATTCCATCTCTATCTATCACTCTTTCCGGCGACATCCGTTCCTATATCCAACGACATCCTTCCCCATCTCTAATTTTTTTTTACATAATTTTATTTCTATATAATTTTTTAATGATTTCTCTCCCAAATTATCAACTATCAACTTAATAAATGTATGTTTTTCTCTAAGTTAGTGATGATATGTAGTTTATAGCTCGTTTGTTTAGTAAATTAATTTACAATTTGTATAATGAAATCATCTAATGTTGATCATGTTTGGATAGATTTGTGTTTTGGAGGGTCATTGGAGAATGTTCATGGTGTTTTACAATATATGCCTTTACCCATGAATCTTCAACTAAAACTGTCATTAAAAAAAGTTAACTTATGAAATTCTAATGTTACGTGTTGCAAAGAAATTGAATTTAGAGCCTCTAAGTGGATTTAGGCTATCTTATCAGAGAAAATGTAAAGTTTATTTATTAACTGACAATGAAGATGTTGAACGATTCATTGCTTACATTAGTGTTTCGCAAGAAGATGATGTTATATTGTATGTTGTTGAACCTAGAAGTAGTGAAGTTGGGTCAGTAGCGGGTAGTAATCAACTAAGTTCTTCAACCCCAGTTTATGGTGCTCACAATGTACAACGTTGTTATCAACCTCAAAATTTAATGGTTCCACCACAATTTCATCACCAAGAAAATTTTGTTTCACCACATTTCCAATACCAAACACAATCTCAAAACCCGCAACCTTTTCCTAATCCAAATCCCAATCAACTTTCATCACAAAATTCCGGTTTTCGTATTGACCAGTTAGATGATTATGATTCAACAAAAAAAAATTATGAGTACTAGTCAGTATTCGAAATTTGATCTTGGTCAATACTCGGATTTTGATGATGTTTCAGAAGAAGAAACAGACCCTACGTGTAATGATTTTGATATTGGTCAATACTCGAATTTTGATGATGAAATAGTCGATGCCGAGAAAGATGTTGTTGATAATAATGAGGAGGAAGTTACGACTGTGAATGAACATGTTGAACATCCATTATGTAATTCATATAACCCTGAAGAAGAAAAAGAAGAAGTCCCCGAAGAAAAGAAAAAGAAGAAAATGTCACGGTAGTATAACTGGAATATGCCAGAATTACTTCAGATACCGGAAGAAGAGTTGATAAATATAGCAGTTGATTGTTACAAAAAAATTATTCGTATCAAGAAAGATGATTGTTTTGATACAAATGAAGACTTGAAGATAGTTTTGTATACGAAATGTGTGGAAGATGGCTATCAACTAAAAGTTATCAAATCAAGCAAAGATTGTTTCGAAACAAAGTGTATGATTGACAAAAACTGTACGTAGCGTATGATTGCAAAGACGATAAAAGATTGTGAAATGTTTCAAGTTAGGACTTTTATTGATAAACATACATGTTCAAGAACCCAAGTTTTTCCTTACCATAGACAGACAAATAAAAAGGTGTTGGGTGGTTTTCTGGCTGAGTTAATGTTTTTGAATGACAGGGTATATCCAACTGTCGGCTTATTGTCACAATTTAAAGCTGAAAAATCTTGGGTCGGTAACTCATATCAAAACAGATAAAGATGGATGCTTTGAGTTGTTGTTTATCGCCATTGGTACTGCGGTTAGTAAATCAATATAATTTTGTTGATTCATTTTTGTTAGTCGCATACATTTCACATTTAAATGATTATGTCTTGTTTATATTATTTTGTAGATTCGTTCGTTTATTACTTGTATGTGCCCAATTATTATAGTTGACGGAACACATTTGAAATGTCGATACCTTGGAGTAAACTTATTAGCAGTAGCCACGGATGCTAACAATGGGATACTGCCAATAACTTACGGGGTTGGCAAATCTGAAACCTCTGATTCATGGACATGGTTTATGAGGCATCTTAGGGATTGTATAGGTCCTATTAGCAATCTGACAATCATATCCGATAGGGCAAACTCAATTGACAATATTGTTAGAAGGTGTTTCCCAGATGCTTTTCATGGACTTTGTGGTGTTCATCTGTACAGAAATCTAAAATCAAGGTCTGCTGGTATAAAAAATCACAAATGAACATACTGGAAGACTGTAAAAGCTTATCGGGAAGTGAATTTTAATAAGCATATAAATTGTTTAAGACGTGTTTTGCCTCAATGTGCTCAAACACTAGAAGATGTCGGGTTTGAAAGATGGTCAAGAGCACATCAACTTGGAGCAAGATATGGTTTCATGACGTCTAATAGTGTAGAATCAATTAACGCTCTAAGTAGTCATTCCCATAAATTACCCATTACTATGTTAATGGAGTTTTTTTCGAGCCTCTATTCAACAGTGGTACTACAAGAAAAGAAACCATGCATGTATTATTTCTTTAAATTCGTAACTTATCATATATTTTACTAAGTATTATTTATTTAAATTTACAGGAACATTGGATCGTCGTGTTACACCATGGACTGAAAAAAAGATAACGAAACGTGTTGTGAAATCAACGTCATGGAGAGTTGAACCATGTTCAAACACTTTGTTTGAAGTATTGAATAATAACTTAAATGGGCTTGTCGATCTAAATACAAAGACGTGTAGTTGTATGAAATGGCAAACATCTGGTTATCCGTGTAGCCATGTTATAAAAGTTGCTCTTCATCTAAACCAAGATGATTCAAGCGCATACGCTATGGATTGCTATATTATAGAAGTATATCAACTGACTTATGCCGAGATTGTCTACCCTATTCCACATCCTTCTGAGTGGGACATACCAGATGACTTAAAAACAATTTTGCCACCAGTCATAGACAGCAGACTACCTGGTCGACCAAAAAATCACGATCGTATACCGTCTAAGAGTGAAGAAAAAAGGATATCGACATGTAGTAGGTGCAAGGAAAGTGGTCATATAAGGTTGACATGTGGATCACCAGTGCCATCACAATCATCTTTTCCTCTACCAAAATATGGATCCTCATCAAAATCCAAAGCTCATATAGTGCCAAGCAAAAGGAAATCAAAATCGCAATCAAAATTAAAATCCCAATCACAACCGGCTTCACCTTTTGGGACTTATTAACTTAGGTCATTTTTAAATGCAAGCGTTGTATTATGTATATTTTATGTGTGAATGCATACATTTCAGTTAGACATTCATTAGTAACTTGAGTTTGAACATTGCTATGATCTGTTCAGT